CTACGCGGAGAGAAATATTCAAGAAAAATTACGGAACATTTCACGTAATCCNTTAACATTATAGTAACTTCACAAGCGTAATTTTTGCAAATCAAAAAGCAGTTAAACTCACCAAAGTTCAAAAGTAACCACGACAAATCTATCGTGAATAGAACTATAAAATAGTGGAAATGACTACGCGGAGAGAAATATTCAAGAAAAATTACGGAACATTTCACGTAATCCGCAAGCGAGAATCGTTTTCAGTGAATTTCTATAGGAATATAAGAGAATAAATCTGAAACGTTCAGTAAATTTTCGGGTCTGTCACCGAAAAAATACGAAAAAGTCACGTAGTTTTTCTGGAAGTTGTAAAATCTACCAGAAACTTCAAGACTTATTATGGCTCAGAACATGAAAATTCTTGGATGTTTAAGAATTTTTACGAAAAGTTCCGGAAAAATTACGGAACGTGTTGTTAAAATCTCCCCCTCACGGTGACTCATGGCTAGCCGTGAGGCGTCGGACGGATGAGTAATTTTTACGGAACAGATCGTAGAATTTACGTGACGATTGACACTTTTTATTGAATTTTCCTTCGCTCCCAGATTACGTTTCGAAACGTAATTTTTACGTCTTTTTTCTGGTAATTTTTATTGAATATTTCTGTCCGTGTACATTCCATTGTAGTAATCACTTCTCCGGCCATAGTTACCGTGACTCATGAGAAATTGTTGAGGACTTTTTGACTATAGTGCGATGGTGATAGAATATAGTTAGAAGAATCATATTTTTCTCTCAGTGTAGGGACGTTAATATCGTCCCTGTAACTTTTCAATATCCTCGGGACTGCACTCGTATATTGAACATTCCATTTCGTCCAGTTTTCATCTGCGATACGAGTGGCTCTTTGAGATGACACTGGCACTCGTAGTAACTGGAATTGTGAAAATATCCAGTCATTCAGAAGCCGATGCAACTTGTATTTTTGAGGAGCAGGAAATTGTATCCTTTATGATTCATGATTCTTGGGCGGGGGGCATTCCAAGGAGAACGCGGAGTGGCGGGCGCCCCAGGGGATAGGGAAACGCTGTGGGCAGACGTCATTGGGGCATTAGTGTATGCAACACGACATTTTTTTCATTTTTCGATGTAATAAATAGCCATTTGATGCTGTGGGAACGGGATATTGCGCAATAGAAAATTGATTTTAATAGGGATGTGATATTTAGGTAATCAAAAATTCTGTAAATATGTAGAATCTGCGCTGATTTGGAATGTCTTTACAGAGTCGCATATTCAGAGAAACTTGAGCCTAAATGAGTTAAACCTAGAGAAATACATTATTTGATTTAAAAGAACTTTGTCTGAATTAATTTAATGGGTTCTTTGAAATAGGAATAAAGCTTTTGTCAAACCGCAAAATTTGATTTTTATCAGTTTCAATTGACTAAATTTAAATAAATAGTTTTTCAAATATAAATAAATGTTTCTTTAATTTTTCCAATGGAACGGCTTAGCGCTGGGGCTTTAGGGGGTGGGGAAACGCTATTTCAGTTGAATTACATCCCTGAAAATTGATAAAAACCACGAAAATTCGGGTAAATAAATTCGTGAATTAACAATTAATTGAAAATTTAGCGCAATTGGGGGTAATTTCCATGGAATATTGAGTTAACTTCGAAATTCCATGTTTTTTTTCCATCTAAATCCCATTCAATGCCGCCCACCTCAGAATTACTACTCAATTAGGAATTATTCATCTCAATATTATGTGTTTGCCAATAACTCTCATCACGACACATAAACCCCTGGAACCTAATTACACCTAGACTACTTAACCCATGAAAACGTTCAATCGCAAACTTGACGTGCCAATTTCCCTCGGATATAATATTGCAACGACTCAGAACTACTCTGTACACATTCATTTCAGTCCACTCACGGAATTCCTCACTCTATCTCGTTATATTTCATTCCACTTTATTACTTATCTCGAAGAAATCAATTTGACAGTTGCAAATTCACAATTCAATGAAAAAACGAATGGAACTGTCTATTTCAGTTGAATTACTTCCCTGAAAATGGATAAAAACCACGAAAATTCAGGTAAATAAATTCGTAAATTAACAATTAATTGAAAATTTAGCGCGATTGGGGGTAATTTCCATGGAATATTGAGTTAACTTCGAAATTCCATGTTTTTTTTCCATCTAAATCCCATTCAAAGCCGCCCACCTCAGAATTTCTACTCAATTAGGAATTATTCATCTCGATATTATGTGTTTGCCAATAACTCTCATCACCACACATAAACCCCTGGAAACTAATCTCACCTAGACTACTTAACCCATGAAAACTTTCAATCGCAAACTTGACGTGCCAATTTCCCTCGGATATAATATTGCAACGACTCAGAACTACTCTGTACACATTCATTTCAGCCCACTCACGGAATTCCTCACTCTATCTCGTTATATTTCATTCCACTTTATTACTTATCTCGAAGAGGAAAAAATTTTCTCCAACCGGAAGCAATCAATTTGAACTTCTCTGACCCAGAGACTGAGTCTAGAGGTTTGAGAGTTGAGTGGATCCGCCCCAATTCAGTGTTATTAAAGCGTTTCCACTCGTAAAGTTTATTCTGGGGATATGCCATGGGAGAAATATCTGAAATTGCAAAGCAAGGTTTTCGTCGTGCTTTGACTCCCTCAAGGTACACCAGTGGATATATTTCATTGTTTTTTAGAACATCACACCTCGCCATTTCGATTTGGCGGGATGGAAATTTGCTCCCGGGACATTCTAATTCCATTCGGGACTGCAGTCGATGCATCCGAGTGACAAGTGTACTTTTGAAATCTATAGGAAATATTGCGTTCGATAGCTCCGGAAAATTCCGGACGGCGGGAGCCCGTACAAGGGAGTTAGCATCACCGAGATATCCAGATTTTTTCGTACAAATTGGAATTTGACATTCATATATTCCAGGCTGCTACTAGTTGAACACAATGGAATGTAGTATTCTGTCGGTCTTCAGTATCACGGACGAGAAAATTTAATAGAAAAACCTATCGAATTCGTTGGAAAATTCAATTGAATTTCTATTGTACTGTTCTATTAATTTTTGGCCGATTCTATTGAAATATTCAATAGAAAATATTCAGTAGAAAAAGGCAATAGAATTCAATTTTTCTATATAACTTATTCTATTGAGGTATTTTCTACAGAATTTCCTCGGCTCAAATTTTCTAATTTTTTTCGTTTGATTTTCTTGATGAGAAGAAAAGAAAAATAGAATGAAAAAAACTTGGAAAATTTCAGTCGAGCAAATTCTATAGAAAATATATGAAAAGAATAAGTTATATAGAAAAATCGAATTCTGTCAACTTTTTCTATTGAATTTTTTCTATTGAACGTATCAATAAAATCAGCCAAAAACTAATAAAAAGTTTAATAGAAATTCAATAGAATTTTCTAACGAATTCGATAGGGTTTTCTATTAAATTTTTTCGTGTGTGTATTCACTACGATCACTTTTTATTATTATTATTTCTATAATATGTTGTGTTGTCAATCATTACGAGAATAATGATTACATCTACTCTGTGACAATCACTAGTTCATAGCAATATTTATGACAGAAAATAATCTTTCATGTAATTTTACAACTCAAGAACTTTCTGTTGAGAGTCAATAAAGTTATATAATTTTTTCAATGAAAATGCATTAATTATGCGTAACAAATAATTCATTTCTAGTTAATAAAGTCTTCATTGGAATAAAAAAAACATTTGTTCACATTCAAGAAACTATTTGTAGGGCATGAGAAATTTTGGAGTTGTTAAGGTAAATTTTCTAGGGATTTCTGATGAAATTTCTGGGGACTTCTGTGAAAATTTCATGTAAGAACGGGAACTGGAACTGCCGGCACTGGAATTTTTCTTGAGAATCTCTCTGCGTGTTGGAGCTACTTGAACTTATTTATTCAATCCAAATAAAGCATTTGGATGAGTTTAACTTTGTTGATTGTCAACAGCAGGCAGACCGCCCTCAGAAATAATGAGAATGTGAGTCTTCCTAGTATGACAGAAAATACTAAGCCACTCGGTAGAAGATAATTTATAAAATATTCTGGGGAAGAAGCTCTCCTCGTCATACATTTCCCCTGACAGTACAGACCCTTCACAACCCATGTACGTTATACGCATCTCGTTTTCAGGCCCCGGAGCCACACTCTCCAATCCTGCCACTCAAAGTTAACATCCCGTAATGCAGGGATTCCTTACACCATTCATCTCCCGTCTGAAAACCTGATCGTGCGGTATGAGGCTTAAATAAACATAAATAATCACTCAGAATGTGCGTAAACGAGTGTTAACCCTTTGAGCCTAGAGTCTATATCACAGATGGGCCCACGCGTGAACGCATGTCTCTTTCCGCAGTTGAATATTTTTATTCGACAAATACCTCTCGAGATTCAAAATTAATCGGGTATTTCCCTCAAGCTAACCTGAATAATTAAATTTATATTTGCAGATCTCATTGATTTTCCCATGAGATTCTGAATTTCCAGCGACGAAATTCCTTGAAATTTTAGTGGAACTAGAATGGGATAAAAATTCTCTAAAAGTGTATCGGAAATTTACAGCCAAAAAACTTTCAAGTGTACACAAAAAATCGAGTTATGATGAACTTACAAAAATTTATAACTGTAAGATGAAATGTCTGCATGGGACAGGAAATTCTCTCATTCCTGTAAAAACTGGAATATTACTCATAACGATGATTAGAGCTCGTCTTAGATAGAAGTTCCTTTTTTTCATTCGAAAATTTATTTTCCTCCTTACGTGATCTGTTAAACGACGTTACATCGAAAAAACAGTGGACTCATTTGTCTCATTGAAAAACAAAAAAATTGAGGGACCCCATTTCGCCCCGGTCTTCCCTAACTGCGTCATTTCGGATGGACTCGGGGCTGCAATGCAATCTAAACAATGATTTCATTCTTTTTGTTTCAGATGGAAGGTTCATTATTGGATAAGGAAATGAAAAATGCCAAATCCCAGGGGCTGACGCCGAGGCTTTTCACTTAGAGCCCTCCGCAAGTAGAGCTGAAGAGAGACAGGACCACGCGCTAGGACAACTTCAGGAGATTAGCGACTCGAGTTGTTGTGAAGCAAGTTATATTCTTCGATGGCATCACGCAACAGCTCTTAAGATTTTCTACGAAAAGTTCCCCCCGAGTGGACGAGAAACTTTTGGGAAGTGGCCGGTAACTCGAGAAATAAGAACCAGGGAAAATGGCGGAGTGCTGAAAGTGCACTAATTCGAATAAGGGACCACACAGCGAAGCAAGGAGGAGTGAAGGATTGATGATGGTCGATCTTGGGGGTTCTAACAATACTTCAGAGGTCCATTGCAAGTTACAGTATCAGAACTTTGTGATACCCGACGGAGGTAAATGCGCATGAAGCTATTCGTTGCAAAAATCACAATGTGAAAAAAAATTTTGTTTTGAGAATCGTTTCAGTAGCGAAGTGCACGGAGAGCAATTTTCTAGAAAAATTCTAGTACGAGTACTGGAAAAAATTACAATCCACCGGCTGTGAAAAATTCTAGTGCTGTTAAGGTAAAATTTCTTGGTATTTCTGGTAAAATTTCTGAGAATTTCTCTGAAATTTTCACAGAAATACGGGGAAAAATTCACGTTTTCCCCAATAAAATTTCTAGTGTCGGCACTGGAATTTTTTTCTGGTGGTCACTTTGCGCCTCTTTTCCCGTGCTAGGACTAGAATTTTTCTAAAAAATTTCTCTCCGTGTGGTAAAAGGAAATAAGACAATTTTGACTATTGACCAGTTTTCAATCAATATCTCGGAATCTAAGGGAGATAGCGAAATTTTCGTAATGACATTTGTTGTAGCACTCAATCGGCCCCATAAAAAAGGTTATAACAAAAATTTCGCTATCTCCCTTAGATTCCTAGATATTGAATGAAAACTGGTCAATAGTCAAAATTGACTGATCTCCTTTTACCACTTCGCAACTGTTTTCCTCGATCAAAATTAAGACATTATTAGTTTGAATTGAAACTATTTTCTAAACGGTGAAAAGACGGAAATTATGAACGCATAATAATCCTTTATTTAGATCACATGAGTAATTTATTTATTTGAATTTCTGCGAAATAAATGAATATTCATTTCATTTAATAGAAAAAATTTCATTGAAATAAATACATGAGCTTATTAATTTCCGAAGCAAATACAGTTGAAATGGATAAAAAAGTTTGGAATGAAGAGGTTTATTCGAGTCGAATTAGTAACTTCTCTGCACGGAGAGAAATATTCAATAAAACTTACCAGAAAAAAGACGTAAAAATTACGTGTCGAAACGTAATCTGGGAGCGAAGTAAAATTCAATAAAAAGTGTCAATCGTCACGTAAATTCTACGATCTGTTCCGTAAAAATTACTCATCCGTCAGACGCCTCACGGCTAGCCATGAGTCACCGTGAGGTTGAGATTTTAACAACACGTTCCGTAATTTTTCCGGAACTTTTCGTAAAAATTCTTAAACATCCAAGAATTTTCATGTTCTGAGGCATAATAAGTCTTGAAGTTTCTGTTAGATTTTACAACTTCCAGAAAAATTACGTGACTTTTTCGTATTTTTTCGGTGACGGACCCGAAAATTTACTGAACGTTTTAGATTTATTCTCTTATATTCCTATAGAAATTCACTGAAAACGATTCTCGCTTGCGGATTACGTGAAATGTTCCGTAATTTTTCTTGAATATTTCTCTCCGTGTGGGTGTGCAAATGTGAATATTCATACATTCGTCATATCTTTTGCTGTTATAGAGATCTGGTGTAATTGGGTATGGGACTCGATTCTTTGTTGGGCACCTATCAAAGCATCTACTACGAGCCTTCAGAGATGTCCACCGGCTAATGGTGTCGATACGACTAGTAAGTCTCCGTAATTGGTCTATGCAACGCTGAATTTGCATGACTTTAATTGATGTTTAATCAGGCTAGAGTTGACCGAAAATTTTACGTAAAAATCGAAATATCCTGGACATCTTTTTCCACGTGCATACAAACGAATGCGTCAAGTTTGGCAGGAAAAAATTTTAAACCTGAGAAACTCCACATATTCGTTCGTATGCAACGAAATTATCGGGAAATACTTGACCGTTTTGAAGCTCTCGGGGTACTATAACCGAAAATTTTCGCTCTCATGGAAGTTCCAGTGATGAAATTCCATGACAATGTCATCGAAAGATTTCCAATACTGTTCACAGATCTGCATCCCCGAAACACCCACCCGAAAATAGAATCTCATCCCCTTTCGTCACTCCACTACAGTCATCCATTCAATTCACCTAATGGAATATTCATACGTTATTAATGGGGTAAAAAATCTCTGTGCCTTGGAGCCATGTGGGAAAGAGGATTAGTTTAAATGACCTCATTTCATTGTGTATTCCCTTCACTGTAAATTAGGTCATGAAGACATAACGAAATTTCACCGCAATGTTCGCATGAAAAACACGCGGAAAATGTAGTTCAGTATTGATCACAGATTCCGGGCAGTATCCCAAAAATTTCGCTCCGCAGACCGCTCCCCAAATACCAATATCCGTGGGTTACCACGAAAAAATTCTGCTTCAGTCTGGTAACACGCAGATTTTTCTCCGAATGTGAAATCCCACCCGCCGACGAAAATTGTGGCACAGTAGGTATTCTGATCCAGTCACGTTGTAATGGATTTTTATTTGCTCGGATTTTACTTCGCGTTGAATAGTTCTGGGTGATTTCTCGAGTGGAAGGGAAAATTGATGAAAAGATAACTTTCGCCGGCTTCTCCACTCAGCATTGGCAGTACTTCTATTTGAATGTGCATCGCGCTCCTTGGAATATTAATCACGGGCTCCCGTGAATTGATGGGCCTCGTCAGCACACTCACCGGTTCTTTGCTTCCGAATGGACCGATTGCTCGATTTTCTCAGTTTTATTGCAAATGGTGTAGAATGTTACGAATTCTTAAGAAATTAGGGGTTTAGGGCCATGTCTGCGTGTGAGCAGGTGCATGCCACACTGTCAGAATTTTTTTGAATCTTCATGGTAGATATTATAGTAAATCTCGTGAGAGTGGCGTTGAATCGGATTTAGGGAAAAAATGGTTATGAAATTTCAAGTTTTAAGGGGAATTCACGGAAATTCATGAGTTTTCAGTGGAAGAGAGATGGAAATTTTATAACTTGATTGGATTTTTAGTGGAACATGAATATTTAGAAACAAAATCACATGAATTTTCAATTTTTTCCCGAATTTTCCTGATTTTTATGAATTTTTACAGAATAATTCAGATGAAAAATCAAGTATTTTATTCATTTCCAGATCATTTGAGAAGAAAATCAATGAAATATTTGACATTAAAAAACGTCTGAATAGAATAAAAAATTGTCTGAATTTCAAACATGAATTAAGATGTTCGCGCAACTATTCGCCTGAAATTCAGACGGATTTTCATTTTATTCAAACGTTTTTTAGTGCCCTAGAAATTATGGATAAATTCCTAGAAATTATGGATATGTTCTTAAGAACAGGCATTTTTTTCTCGTCGGTCGAACTGTCTGACAATTTGAAATTCCTTTGAATTTTCAGTGAAATTTGCAATTTCTTTTTAACAGCATTATTTACAGTGCGATCAATTTTTCGAAATAGAAGAGCAAAATCTCTTTCACGATGAATTTTTTATTTCGTTACACGTTGAACAACAACGACAGGGTAATTTTTACTACATCCAGGTTCATAACGAAATTAATGAAGCCATGAAAAATAGCTTGCCCGAAGAAAAATGCGAATTTACTAGTAAAAATAGTGATACCGGAATGCAGTGCAGACAAGAAAAATTTTGAGATATTGAAGACAAGCAAATTTAGACAAGTAAATAAAAACATCATTTTTTCACGTTTCGCAACATTCTAGACCACTTGCAATCAAAATTATAAAATCGAAAAATCGGTCAAATACAAAGCTTCCATTCGGAAGCAAAAATAATCATTCGCAGGCAAATTGCGAATTTATCCGTAAAATAGGCGTGCTGGAATGGGGAAGATGTACGTTATTTCCGGTGGAAAAATATGTCCTGCAAATGGACTGATGAGAACCCATCAGAATTTTCAATTCATGGAGAAGTGTGATATTTTCCGGGTATGAAAATTCCCAATGTGAATTTGAACGATAAAGTGAGGACATGGGTTTCCACTCATACGCAATCGCAATTTTTATGATTGGATTTACGTCATGAATCACAATCCATCGGAAATGACAAGCGAATGCCCGTTTGCATTCGCAATGTGTTGCGAAATTCATTTTAAAAGGATGCGCGCAGAAAAATGATTTTTTTGAATCAAATAAAGTTTATTCAAATCAAATAAATAAGTTTACTTAAATAATACCAAATAATTTTTTTTTTCAAATGAAATAAAAATTCTTATTAGAAGTTTTGTTTATATTAAATAATTTTTTTTACTATTCTAATAAATCTTTATTTCTCTCTATATAATAAAAAAATAAGGGCAAAATTTAAGAGAATTCAGGCGACGCAAAAATTCAGGCGACGCCTAAAGGTGGGGGGGGGGGGGTCAGGGGGGGCCCAAGGTCGGGGGGGTTAAAAGGGAGGAGGGTGTCCCAGGGTTGGATTGGGAGGGAGGGAGCGAAGCGAGCGGGGGGGCGAAGCCCCCCGGGGTTGGCGAGCGAAGCGAGCAGGGGGCGAAGCCCCCTAGTGAATCAAATAAATTTTTTCTTTCAACTAAATTCATATTGATTTAATACTAATGATAATTTTCACCCAGTCAACTGTTCAATAGTATTTTGCATTTTTTAATTATCGAATTAATCAACAATTTAATATTCAAATTTCGAATTATTTTACCAATCGATAATTTAGTTACGATGATTGACGATTATTAGGTTAATCGAAAATTCTCTTTATGAAATTAGTCTTATTCGCTCAATGGACAATTGACAACAATTGACTTAATGGACAATTGATTCCTGAAATCCTCAGAAAGTATCGAAACATTGTGTTACCGACAGAGACACTATCTGCGGGAGAAGACAAAAAAAACAAAACACAAATACAACATCACTGAGAGAAAAATCTGAAGTTCGATTTACTATAAGAAAATAGTTGAGGCAGTTTTGGTGAACGATACGATTTTTTTTGTATGCGGCACATAATATTATAGTAATATTAATATTTCTTTCCCTCTGCGTTCCGCCCCATTCCCCCCTTCGCCGGGAAATAGATGAAATCGAAAATATGAAATCACTTAAAATCGTCTGAACTCTCAAAATCACCAAAAAATCCCAGGCAATTACATGAAATCAATGATTGCATGAAATCATGGAAATCTCCATGAAATCGCGTGAAATCAGCAATCACTGTCACCGGATTTCCAAATGAATGGCCCCTCGCTCTCTTCAAAATTACCAGTCGACTGTCCACGAAATGCCAATTTTTTTCTAACCGTGTACTGCAAGGAATTCCCATTCATACAGGGCGTCTGCCCTTGACTCCGCGCTCTCGAGATATTGAATTCCCTAAACACCCCCAGTACTCGCATCACCTCACGAAGGTCACGGCAATCGGACGTACTCTCCCTCCGCGGAGCGTCCCATCAGAATCTGAAAATTTAACGTGTAATTTTGGGGCGAAGAAATGAGCGAGAGTCGTATGGAGGGATCTCCCAAAGAATTGAGATGAGGGAAGAAATAGACACTGTGTGCAAAACGAGAGGAGAGCCAAGTGTTCTCCCTTTGTTTGGCCTACTCCAAGTGCGCTGTATGTTCACCTCGTTTTCTTTTCTACCCTTCGAAGAGACACCAGATATACCTCCAGAATTTTCAAGCGTGCGAGCTAATGATTCACGTAGCAATTCTCCGGGGGAATAATACGGCATCATTAAAGAAATATGAAATTGCGTATGATGCTCCCGGAGATTTCCAAAGGGGCTTCGAATTTCATATGAACCTATGTCACTCGATGGCGGAGAAACTGTTGAACTGTTGTTGTGATATTGTAATGGTTCTACTTTAAATTCACATTTTTTTTTCTTGAATATGAGATACCACTCTTGGAAATATAAATGAACTTCTATATATGACGGTTTTATTTATATCTTACCCGTCATATGTAGAGGTTTATTTATATTATTAATGATAATAATACGGCATCATTAAAGAAATATGAAATTGCGTATGATGCTCCCGGAGATTTCCAAAGGGGCTTCGAGTTTCATATGAATCTATGTCACTCGATGGCGGAAAAACTGTTTTTGTGATATTGTAATGGTTCTACTTTAAATTCACATTCTTTTTTGTTGAATATGAGATACCACTCTTGGAAATGTAAATAAACTTCTGTATCTGACGGGTTTATTTATATCTAACGCGTCATATGTAGAGCTTTATTTATATTATCAATTTTAATTAATTAAAAATTTAAGAATATTTTTAATTGAATTTTCAACTGAATTTTCATGGAACAATTGAGCTGAAATCACTATGTTCCATTGTTTCTTAATAAAAAATTCTAGAAGTTTCAGGGGACTTGGGACTTGATTGAAATTTATAATCAAATTATAATTGAAAAGTTCACTTTAAATAGAAGAAAAAGTAGTGTCTTAAATTAAAACGCTTGTGTCCCCAGATTTGATGCCACATGAGTCAGATATTTTTCATTTTTTCTACTCTTATGACAAAATGGAATGCGAAACTTCAATCGAGTTCCAGGAATCCGAATGGGATATTGCCCAGAATGAAATCATTTTACGAACTGTTACATTTTTTACGTTTTTCTGCAGTAAAAAGCGAGACATCCCACGCGGTTTGAGGTGAATCGACTTCAGTTGAATATAACACAACTGAAATCCATCGGCTGGATGAATAGTAACAGT